AACATTTGTTGGAAATCACCTCTAGTTTATGTGTACAAAATTTCCTGCATGTCCGTTCAAAGCTGGCGACGCTGGACCCTTTTAAAGTTTTGGTAACATGAACCAGAACAAGAAAAGCACTGAGGCTCTGGGACCAATAAACCAATAAATAAACCCAATAAACTTAAATGAGACATTAAAAAGCTCATCCAATGTCCAGAGGAAAACACTTCTGCCACCTTTGAACTTTTGCAATAGGGCAATTTTTATACCACCTAAACCTCATAATGAAGTTTAGTGGCCAAGATGCTTGTAATTGACTTTGCAAATTATACTTCTTTATAAAAGACATACCATAAATTGCTTTTGGAATTGGAAAGAATTCGCCATAGTTGTTGTTAAATATCCTGGCAACTTCCTGGGCCATCTCTAGGTGCTGTTTTTGATCATCACCCACAGGAACATGTGTTGACCTTAAAAATGAAAAAGCAGTTGAAATAGGTGGAAAGAAACTGTACAGGAAAGACATTAATTTGATCTTGATTTATGAAAAATTGTTATAAAAAAATTAAAAGAAACATATTACAAATATAAAAAATTAAACAAGAAACAGTAAAAATACCAAGAATTTTTGAATGTGTAAAAAAACACAATCAGCAACTAGCAAAACACAAACTGGTACAATATAAAACATGCGATCAACAATAACATGTGTGGCAAGGACCAGCCAAACCAGTCTTACACTGTTTTTCTTACTTTTGTCAATTAAATTTTTGTAGTTTAAAACAGAGTTTATATTATTATGGAGGGGACTTGTACATTCATTATGGTTCACACTCTCTTGTGTTCACATATTACTATTACTAGTATTATTTATTGACAATGTTGAATTTGAACTTACTTATAAAGTAGAATGTCTGCACTTTGTAATACTGGATATGTAAATAAGCCAACACATGCCTTCTTCTTGTCTGAGCCAACTTTAGCCTAACAAACAAATTAAAAAAGAACCATACATTAAACAATAATAAAAAAAAAAAAGACTTACAACCAAAAAAATGCAAACCCATATAAATTTTAACATAGAATTCTTCAATTTAAAAAATAAAGTTCTCACCTAAATGAAATTTAAGAAAAAAAAAAAAATTATGAAATTGGATTGGATCAGATTTGATTGTAGTTAATCAGTGTAAATACGAAGGGTAACCAAGTCTGGAGAAGACCTATTTTCAATGGGGTCCTTCTGGTGGTGATCAGGCTGTACACCAGCAGACAATTTCCTCATTTTGTAAAGAGTGTACTGCGTTCCTTCCCTTCATGCACATGGGCCATATTGCACATAGGACTGACGGTGAGCTATTGATACTTGTATTCCGCCCTCCAGATGAACACAGGACAGAAGCTATGGGAATAGAGCCAGGAACCAAGAGATCTCCATGGTACATACAGCGCATACACGGTAACTTCCACCAGTTTTAGCCAACTGAGCTAAGCTGCTCATCCAACAATGTCAAAGTTGAGGTGTAAGCTAACTGTACATATTCATCTTTCTATATTTATGAATGAATTTTCATCTACTAACTGTACTGGTCACACCCTATATAAACTTTTAAGTCATAAAAAAAAACTCATAAACTTGACTAAAATTATCTGGTAATTGTAGAGAAGATAAGTGGGAAAAAAGTTAACAATACAGTATCAGAATTGCAAAAACATACAACTTAGCAAAGCAGCTTAGGATAGGCAGTCATCACCTTTACCAAGAGGACACTTCTTTTCATACCTTGTTCAGTGAATTATTTTTTTTTAAAGATCGTCAGAGGAGGGCATAAAAAATATATATGTAATAAATGTAATGTGTAATAAAAATACATTTTTTCTTGAAGTTTCCATTTTTTTTAGGCAGTGGGTGCGCTGATTGGCCAAAAATTAAAATTTTATTTTTATTTGAAATTATCACTATTGGTAGGCGGCGGTTTGCGAAACAAGGTATAAAATAGTCTCGCCAAAATATTATTGTGAAATTGTCGTAACATTAAATTTACCTTCCATTGTGTAAAGGAATTAAGTTTGGCCAGTGTAGTTCGGCAGCCAAGCACCCATGCTAATTGTGTATGTTCTTTTACCTACAATAAGAAACAAGCAGATACAAAGTTACAAAAAAAAAAACATCAATATGAAAATTTTCAAAATAAGTGATGTGCTGTGTAAAACATCATTCCTAAATTATACTGCTTATTGAAAAACAAAGCATTCAAGACAGCAAGAAGTGGAAGATGGGAGTGTCACCATGGTGTGAAAGTCATTAACTATTCGTAAGAGGGAAAATTCTGACTTACAAAATGACGATGATGATTATATTGCCTGTTTTTAATGTACACAATGCTGAGCTCTTCAAACCCATCAGTTTGTGGCATGCCTAATTATGCTCATGATGACATCACATCATGACCATATTTAGGCACATCATGACTAAATATGGGCAACCAAGCTTTAGTACTTACAGCAGACTGCTGGAAGAGAATGCTACGATCTGGATCAATGCCACAAGCTATTAAAACTGCGGCCATTCTCAGGATGCTCTCTCTCAGTTCCTTTGGGTCCTGTGGTAAAGCAATAGAATGCAAGTCTACAATGCTATAGATAACTTCATTGCCATGTCCCTGTAAATGGCTCCACTGTTGTATAGCACCTAAATAGTTCCCTATATGTGGCACTCCGGTTGGTTGGATACCTGAAAAGATGCACATCTGTAAAACATAATATCAATATTATATTATATATTAATGTCGATCAAAATATTTATAATTCTGTACAATGACAAACAAGATTACAAGATTTAAATACTGTACAAGCACTTGTAAGTCATTAAAACTTGACTTGATTGCTCGAAAGTTCAAACACGTTTATTGTCAGGGAGCTCTGTGTTTAATCTGACTTATAAAATTATTACAAATACATTCAATTATTTAATAAAAAAATGTCGTAACATTAATGCATGAAAATTCATCATAACAAACATGGTTAAAATATGCAAAACAAAAAGAAAATAAACAGAAAGCATAATATGCGTACAGGTAAAATCCTAAGATAAAAGGTAAAAAGGTAACATATCTGAATATATAAATATATAAATGAAAAAATATATAAATATAAATAAATATTTAAGACAAAAATATCTGACATAAAATAATCACATGACATTGATCAAGCCCCTCGAGGTTGTGACAACATGTGCCACTATTTAAATGCAGAATCATTATTATTATTATTATTATTATTATTATTATTATTATTTAATTATTATTATTATTATTATTATTATTATTATTATTATTATTATTATTATTATAATACAATATTAAAATCACAAACAATGTAAAGAATGCTCTGTAGTAGAGTTTTATAAAATGTTACAATTTCATAGACCTGAGGTTTTTTTTACATAAGTCAGTAATCTGACAAGTCTCAGTGGTCTACTGTAGGCTAGGTTTCTTTATTAGGAACAATTTAGCCATTTAAATAAGGTCCTGACGGGCAGTGATGGAAAAAATCATTGTCCTACAGTACGTTAGGCAATATTTCTGGGTATTACTTACTACTAATGGATAGGCTAGCTTGCTTGTGGCCTAGCCAGTACTATTGCTACCTCCAGGCCTAGGCTAGAGATAGAGAGGGCCAGGCCTAGGCCTACCTATTTTCGTAAACGTCCATTATATTTGTCAAAATTTCCGTAGTAACTATGACGTTCCGTATAACTTGAGAACTTTGGGATGGTAAACCAATAAACCATGGCGGCTAGGCCTAACATACTGTAGGCCTAATCTGGAATGGTACGTCGCGCACCCGAAGCGGCTATGGTAGGCCACAAAAGCGCCTTACTTAGCCGCGCCTGCACATTAGAAGGCCCGGGCCAGGGTTGGGGTTCAATAAAAAAAAAAAAAAAAACATCGGCATCTATCAAAAATGATCTATTTCTTTGTAAAAACTAACCGTGTTAAATTTACGACAACTCAATATTCTTTTAAAATCACTAGGTGACGGTGAACGGGTCAAAATGAAATTCAACTTTGTAACACACTTCCTCGACATGGGGGAGGCCATCTTGACTGAAGAAAGTTGCCAGAGACGTTCGAAAAAATGTTCCCTATTTTAAAAGGATAGATACTGTACGTGCAACGGCAAAAATTAATACAGTTTAATAGCAGTCCTACCACAGTTTTGGCATTATTAAAGCATATATAACTATCAATTTGTTCAACTTTTGTATTTTGTATGTGGATTCAAAGTAGGCCTAGCCAGTGAAGTATGGAGGAAATGAATTATGAGCAAGAAAAAAAAATGGTGTGTTTAAATACATTAGAAAAAGTCTCTGGAACTATAAGGATGTAAACTAAACACTTATATTAAAGAAACTTTGAGAGTAGTTTAATATGACATTAAGTGTGTTCACACAAACACTGTCTGTTGTTAGAAATATGTAAAAATAAAACACTAAAGTATCATCCGAATAAAGTGATCTCAACTCAGATTCATAATGTTGATATCACTGATCCAGAAAATCTCAGGAAAAAAAAGACTAACAATAATCCTGCAGTAAGCTGAAGTTTATGTGCGTGCATAGAATGATGAATACTTATTGTGTACAGTAATTTTGTAGTACATCGTACCTGACACAAACACTGGTGGGTAATTAATAAAAGTCTACATTATCAGAGGATCCGTGATGATTTTCGTAGCTCAGTTTTTTTGTGCTCAGTGAAGGCATTACACTAGACACGATTACGACACAACGACTATAACGCGTGATTCGTATTCTTCAACACGGCCTGCGCGCATTTTTACAATGTTGTAGTCGAATCTGTCTAGTGTAAATGTAGTTTTATGTCGAACTATAGGCCTAATTATAATTAAATTATTTTTATATCAAGTTTTTATTCAAACTTACAGATGGTTTCTAAATAAAACATCACAGCACAAAAATTGACAATTGTTTATAGGTACAAAGCAAATTAACAGCAAGTCTATGATTTAAGATCAAATCAGTACATAGGCTTATTATTACAACTGTCAATTTTCAAGGATTAAGAAACTGTTAAGCGTATGGCTAAAAAGTTGTAAAAATTAATATTTCAATGAAATACCGTGTTTTGATACGATAAAATATTGTTGAATTACAGTTGAACACCGTATTGATTTAATTTGCATATCCAGAAATGTCTGTTTCGAACTTTTAGCGGTATCCTATGGGTTGACTGTGTTAAAATGTATTCACTTCGATTCGCGGCATCCCCTCGGTATGAGTAGCCTAAAAGACGGGTTGGTTATAAATGGTGCATGTCTCCGTGGTTAAATTGATTATCTGGTCTGGTACTTATATTACCAATTTTTGCGGTTATTGCGGGTAATTTCGACGCAAATCAACAGTAAGCTCTGGGCTAGCAGGCCAGTTAGTAACACTATGTTGAAAATAGGTGCAACCAATGAGATTAATTTAATTATGAACATTAACAAATTCCTCAACATTACATGATAATAAAGTTGGCAACATTTTCTGAGTTGTTTACACGAGATGCGAAGCTGAGACAACTCTAATTATAATTATATAGGCCAGAACATCACACCATCACAGGCTACTGCAGCAAATGAATTTATTCATCCATTTTACATTGTCTTGTGAAGTCTCATTCCAATTAATTATGTCTCTCCAGTGGCGGATCTAGAAGGGGTGAATAGGGTGGCAAGCCACGCCCTTCGTTCACCGGGAAAAGAAAAATAATGGTCACTCGTCTTGTGTGTGCTTCTCTTTTTAAGCTTGCTTCTATTCAGATACCATCTAACAATCTACTACTGTAATGCCAAAACAAACCTCAAATGGGAGGGGACGCCCTTCCCAAAACCTTCCCTCCACCGCTTGGTTCCCATTATCCCCTCCCCATTGCTAAATCCTAGATCCGCCACTGCTCTCACAATCTATATAACTTGTACCACCTCAGTGCAGTAAGGTATCTAGGAGTCTTCAAGTAGGTGAGATGATTAGGGGCGGGGGCATGAAGTGAAGTGGGGAAGGACACCGATGATCAGTTGAGAGGATGCTAACTGGCAAAATAAGGTGATTTTAGATGGTTTTTAACTACCGTACTTCACCGTGATTTTTTTGGTGTGCGAGTAATTTTTGGAGGGGAGTTCCCCCACACCCCACCCAAGATGCGCCATTGCAGCTGTGAACAACTAAAAAACATAGTTAATTTACAATTATTTTTGTACAAAATTTGAATTATACAGAAATCTGCTGAACGATGTAAATTATTTATTAATATTTCTACACCAGGAAATACAAATTGTAAATATACATCATAATTTTTAATCTCCAAAAATAAGAATTATTTTGTTTCATATTTAAACCAATTGAAATTAATTCAAATAATTGTAATGGACCTTTCCGCTGACTCTGTTTTGATTGGTCAGTTGACAAGTTTGATTAACACTACGGAAACGCCCATTGCACAGATGGGTGATAATTATCACAATGATAAATTTTTCTTGCATAATTACAGCATAGTACTCTTATATACAAATACAATATTAATACTGTATTATACTGCACAACTCAACATTCAGTTTATAAATCGGAAGAGTTTAATTTGTGTCCCATTGTTATCTTACTATAAGAGATAAACACACAACCGTAAACAATTGAATGACTTTTGACACACACCAACGAACGTCTTCATATAAGATTGAGGGCGCTATAGCGAGTCTTACAAATTTCTTCTAACATACAGAATTACAAGATTTAACAGTAAAATAATTTATCCAACATATTTTAACAATCACATTAATGACATTATTAATGAAAACATATTAAAAAATTATTTCATTATACAATTATAATACAGTAACTTTACTACAAAATTGTATCAAACAGTTTCAAAAATAAAAATTTATCATATTAATGTACGTTTATATAAATTCTCTATGTTTATTAAAAAATAAATTTATACAGACTTCATATATTAGCATATTTTATTATTTTTTGGTAATAGACAGGCACTAAATGAAATGATGACAATAATTCTGTTATGACATCTTATGGACTATGACGAATATAAGTTTGAAATAAATCAGGTCTTGCTGCCGACATCAACGTGGTGTAAACTGTCTTGCTAAATTGAAAAAAAAAAAAAAAACTGTTAGTAAAATTAAATTTTGCTTCATGTATTTTTAGATACAGGCCATTAAGAATGGTTGGCAAAGGGGTTGTGGTAGACTTTGAGCCTTGTTCATATGACTGAAGTTTATTTGACAAAAACATGTCATATGCAAAATAAAGTCATAATGACATCACATCATAACTATATATGGGGAATACAACAGAAATGTCTCTCAATGTATATTATATTGCATTTTAGTGGTTTGGCAAGTCACTTTGTTTATGATATTGTCTCTCTCCACCCAGACTATAAGTTGGTACAAGATATCCAATATTCGCATGTATCCTTAGGCAAGGCACTTTGCCTATGTTTGTCTCTCCCCACCCATGAGTACAAGTGGGTGCCTGGTAGGTTCAAACACAAAATGCGCTGAATACAAGCTGCAACATTATGGAATTCTCCCAAGGGACCTGAGTTCCATATGTGATCGATCCCATGACAGGGATTAATAATAAAGCGCATAGAGGTCTCTACAGTACGGATGAAATGCAAGTTACAATAGCGTCTTTCGGATGATATGTGTAATCTGTGGCCCATAAACTCCTTTCCATACAGTATTTATTAATAATATTTTATTTATTCATTTTTTTTATTCTAGGTAAACTGCTCAACAAGCCTGTTATTTTCTACACAATACATACAAGCAATTAAAAAAATATAACTTTGAACAGAAAGGTCCACTGATTAACCTCTGATAAGGAAGTATAATACAGTACATATTCTAAGTATTGAAATACACGCCATTGAATTGTAATGCAATAGTTCAACGTTAATTTTGTCATCATCTGTCAAAATATTGAAGCCCTACACGATGGAGTGCATTTCAACATGCCATAAGCATTATATTTTCACACAAACTGGGATTCCAGTCCCTATTAAAAATCATTCAATTGGTAACAAGCTTTCTTGATATAAACAGACGTTGGTGGTGCTCTCCGAAATTAGCTTATACTAAGGGAAATCAATAAATTAGAAACTTGTGGCAAGTCTAATAAAACCTATATTCCCACGAAAACAAGATTTTTAGTCTAGCCACCAATTATATGTCAAATATTTTTTTTAAATACAGTATCAGGCAAAAGCTAAAAGACTTCAGGGTAAATAAAAAGGGATTTCATAGCTAGTTGAAGTTTAATGGTTAAAGCCAAATATCAGAAAGAAATTTTTACTAATACTAAATGGACACATTTCAAATAATCTCCAAGACTTACTAATTAAGAACTGGTGGTACTGATAACACTTCGTACATGGTCTTATCATTAATATTCTTCCTACCAACTGCATTCATGGCATCAATAGCTGGATCTCTGCAGAGACACAATCAATTTGACATGACATTTGACATTCTGTTTACCACACATAATATATTAATGTTATCTTTCAATGTATTCTGAACTACGAAAAAAAAGGTAGACATGTTTTAAACAGACAAGTAGAAGGATGTCAAATGGCCGAATGGTTAAGACGGGGTGGTCACAACTAGATTGGCACTAGTTTGAGTGGCATGCTCGTCTAGGGTTCTAGTGGTTGGACAATTAAGTCTTTTCTGTAAATAAACCAGTGTATCTTTTGAGACGTGAAGTAGTGGTATATACAGCCCGTTGCAAATGGACGAAAGTACCGGTTTACCTGGTAGCTCAGACACGAAATGATGACTCTTAGGACAATAGAAAGTTACTTTTCGAGTTAGTCCACACTTCGAGCTCTACGGGACTTTAGTGTAAAGCAATATTTAAATCTGATCTGCATTACAAGTATAACATTATCTTTATGCACTGAAAGTTGCAAATGCAAACTAAGTTATTTGGTATGAGTGTCATTTTAGCACTGGTATAAATTCTAACTCTGTGCATATAACTAACCTTCTGTCATCACTAGGGGGCGGTGTTGTCCATCTGTCATAATTGGTTTCCAATGCAAACCATCTATGATAAATAAAAGTTAATAGAGTAAAAAGAAATGGGTAAAAAAATAAGATAGAATCATTTATATAATACATGCTCACATAATTAACACTTTAATCTAATAATCTGCATTGTATATATTTTAAATGATTTTTACTCATCGTTATCTATTTGGGGATATTGTGTACTGGGCTGGGCAGGAAATATCAGTAAGGGGGATAAGGACAGAATTAAGAGGGTGCTGGGTAGGGTGGGGAAAGTAATTGGTTCATGTGTGCAGATGCTGGACTCACTCTACCACAAAATGCTTGCAAAGATGTTTCAGGCTATATTGGAGGACACAAACCATTTGCTCCATGCTGCAGGACATCACTTAGGCACTGTTATTTGTTTAAGGAGCGGTAGAATGAGGAGGGTGAATGCACACACGGACTGATACAAGTACTCACTCTACTCAGCTGGGATATGACATTATAATCTAAAGTATTTAAGATAGTTTAATTTTGTATTGCACTGGCAGTCATGAGCTGTAAGTATTTCAATTTTTTGGACAATAAACAAATTTGTATTGTTGTATGGCCAAAGGTCAAAGTTTAAATTTATGCACTACTGAAAATTTTTTGATTAAAGCATGTTTTCTATAGGAAGAATGCTGTGTATGAAATCTGAAAATGCAAGAATTGTTGGAGCAGCTCGTTCGACAAAAACATCAACCAAAAAAACCAAGAAACCAAGCACCAACAGTAGAGGTCGCATTCCACTTAGCGACCAGAACTGATTACGTCTGATACACAACCGTAAACAATTGAACGACTTTTGACACACACCAACGAACGTCTTCATATAAGATTGAGGGCGCTATAGCGAAAGTCTTACAAATTTCTTCTAACATACAAAATTACAAGATTTAACAGTAAAATAATTTATCCAACATATTTTAACAATCACATTAATGACATTATTAATGAAAACATATTAAAAAAATATTTCATTATACAATTATAATACAGTAACTTTACTACAAAATTGTATCAAACAGTTTCAAAAATAAAAATTTATCATATTAATGTACCTTTATATAAATTCTCTATGTTTATTAAAAAATAAATTTATACAGACTTCATATATTAGCATATTTTAGTATTTTTTGGTAATAGACAGGCACTAAATGAAATGATGACAATAATTCTGTTATGACATCTTATGGACTATGACGAATATAAGTTTGAAATAAATCAGGTCTTGCTGCCGACATCAATGTGGTGTAAACTGTCTTGCTAAATTGAAAAAAAAAACAAAAAAAAACTGTTAGTAAAATTAAATTTTGCTTCATGTATTTTTAGATACAGGCCATTAAGAATGGTTATAATAATAATAATAATAATAATAATAATAATAATAACAATAACAATAATAATAATAATAATAATATAGAAAATTATATAGCACCTTTTGCCAAAGGAAACAAGGCGCTTAGAAAAGGTTTATTGTAGGAAGAGGATTATTTAGGGAATAAGTGAGCTTTTAAGAGTTTTTTGAAGACTTCAGTACTACAAGCATTTCAGATAGAAATAGGAAGATTATTCCACAGTTTTGGTTGGCAAAGGGGCTGTGGTAGACTTTGAGCCTTGTTCATATGATTGAAGTTTATTTGACAAAAACATGTCATATGCCTAAATATGGTCATAGTGACATCACATCATAACTAAATATGAGGAATACAACTTAAATGTCTCTCAATGTATATTATATTGCATTTTAGAGGTTTGGCAAGTCACTTTGTTTATGATATTGTCTCTCTCCACCCAGACTATAAGTTGGTACAAGATATCCAATATTCGCATGTATCCTCAGGCAAGGCACTTTGCCTATGGTTGTCTCTCCTCACCCATGAGTACAAGTGGGTGCCTGGTAGTTTCAAACACAAAATGTGCTGATTACAGCTGCAACAATATGGAATTCTCCCAAGGGACCTGAGTTCCATATGTGATCGATCCAATGACAGGGATTAATAATAAAGCGCATAGAGGTCTCTACATTACGGATGAAATGCACAATAGCGTCTTTCGAATGAGATGTGTAATCTGTGGCCCATAAAGAACGCAGTATGCATCACTTCGGAAAAGAGTTAGGGATTTTCCCTGTGTACTGCCCAATTCACCACCTGAAGTACCCCACTGGAAACAAGTCTTCGAACTTATTGGGTTATTCTTGGTTGGATTCACAAAAAAATACAGTATTTATTAATAATATTTTATTTTTTTTTTTTTTATTCCAGGTAAACTGCCCAATACCAAGCTTGTTATTTTCAACACAACAAATACAAGCAATTAAAATACAACTTTGAACTGAAAGATCCACTGATTAAGCTCAGATAAGGAAGTATTGAAATACACGCCATTGTATTGTGATGCAATAGTTCAATTTTAATTTTGTCATTATTTGTCAAAATATTGAATCCCAACACGATGGAGTGCATTTCAACACATATATATTTTCAACAAACTTGGATTCCAGTCCCTAAATTAAAAATCAATCAATTTTCGCATCAATACCATTCCATATTACTTATTTGCATGGCAGTCCATACTATACCATTTCTTGGTAACAAGCTTTCTTGATATAAACAGACGTTGGTGGCACTCTCCAAAATTAGCTTATACTTTAAAGGGAAATCAATAAATTAGAATCTTGTGGCAAGTCTAATACAACCTATATTCCCACGAAAATAAGATTTTTAGTCTAGCCACCAATTATATGTCAGATATTTTTTTAAAATACAGTATCAGGCAAAAGCTAAAAGACATCAGGGTAAATTAAGGGATTTCATAGCTAGTTGAAGTTTAATGGTTAAAGCCAAATATCAAAAAGAAATTTTTACTAATACTAAATGAACACATTTCAAATAATCTCCAAGACTTACTAATTAAGAACTGGTGGTACTGATAACACTTCGTACATGGTCTTATCATTAATATTCTTCCTACCAACTGCATTCATGGCATCAATAGCTGGATCTCTACAGACATAATAAATTTGACATGACATTTGACATTCTGTTTACCACACATAATATATTAATGTTATCTTTCAATGTATTCTGAACTACAAAAAAAAGGTAGACATGTTTTATACAGATAAGCAGAAGGATGTCAAATGGCCGAATGGTTAAGACGGGGTGGTCACAACTAGATTGGCACTAGTTTGAGTGGCATGCTCGTCTAGGGTTCTAGTGGTTGGACAATTAAGTCTTTTTGTAAATAAACCAGTGTATCTTTTGAGACGTGAAGTAGTGGTATATACAGCCCGTTGCAAATGGACGAAAGTACGGGTTTACCTGGTAGCACAGACACGAAATGATGACTCTTAGGACAATAGAAAGTTACTTTTCGAGTTAGTCCACACTTCGAGCTCTACGGGACTTTAGTGTAAAGCAATATTTAAATCTGATCTGCATTACAAGTATAACATTATCTTTATGCACTGAAAGTTGCAAATGCAAACAAAGTTATTTGGTATGAGTGTCATTTTAGCACTGGTATAAATTCTAACCCTGTGCATATAACTAACCTTCTGTCATCACTAGGGGGCGGTGTTGTCCATCTGTCATAATTGGTTTCCAATGCAAACCATCTATGATAAATAAAAGTTAATAGAGTAAAAAGAAATGGGTAAAAAAATAAGATAGAATCATTTATATAATACATGCTCACATAATTAACACTTTAATCTAATAATCTGCATTGTATATATTTTAAATGTTTTTTACTCATCGTTATTTATTTGGGGATATTGTGTACTGGGCTGGAAACATCAGTAAGGGGGATAAGGACAGAATTAAAAGGGTGCTGGGTAGGGCGGGGAAATAATTGGTTTATGTGTGCAGATGCTTGGCTCACTCTACCACAAAATGTTTGCAAAGGTGTTTCAGGCTATATTGGAAGACACAAACCATTTGCTCCATGGTGCAGGACATCACTTAGGCACCGTTATTTGTTTAAGGAGCAGTAGAATGAGGAGGGTGAATGCACACACGGACTGATACAAGTTCTCACTCTACTCAGCTGGGATATGACATTATAATCTAAAGTATTTAAGATAGTTTAATTTTGTATTGCACTGGCAGTCATGAGCTGTAAGTATTTCAATTTTTTGGACAATAAACAAATTTGTATTGTTGTATGGCCAAAGGTCAAAGTTTAAATTTATGCACTACTGAAAATTTTTTGATTAAAGCATGTTTTCTATAGGAAGAATGCTGTGTATGAAATCTGAAAATGCAAGAATTGTTGGAGCAGCTCGTTCGACAAAAACATCAACCAAAAAAACCAAGAAACCAAGCACCAACAGTAGAGGTCGCATTCCACTTAGCGACCAGAACTGATTACGTCTGATAGTACACAAAAAGTTGCAAGTATAGTTAAACTGATATAACTTTTTTTTTAGGTCAAAGACATTTATCCTGTTTAATACACATCCAAACCAGATAACATATACATTTTTTTTTTATCGCTTAATTTGTATAGCTTACAATTAATAAAAATGAGAAAAACATTTTAGGATTTTTATAGTAAAATGTCTGTAGTAATTGATCTGTTTCTGGTTGAAAGTTACCAATTCGATGCTTTGAAATGAGCTATTCAAAATTTTAATATAAATTTTGAGGTTTCTCAATTTTTTTTTTTTTTTTGCAGACAGTGTATCATTAAACTGTGGCAAATGGAATAACAGTGTACAAATATAAATATTGACAAAAACAATTGACTAAATTATGCAATAATAACAATATGACAATAATTTCACAGTACACAAAATAATTAATAATTCAAAGTCATACTTGTCCATTTTTGGTATTAAAGGGTTGATGTCGAGTGATCTAAATCTACTTCTTGTTATAATAACACCTTCGTCAGGCTTGACTCCCCCAATAATATAGTAAACTGGAGCAATGATCCGGGTATTATTAAGCCTCCTGTATGCAGCATCAAATGAGTCATCGTATTCTAAAGCCTGTCATATAAATTCAATCACTAAGTTATGCACTTGTCAATTGTAGTCCCGGCCTTCCCGGACCCGGGCCATAGCGGAGCACTAGGCGGGACTGCGCTAGGGATGTACACATAGTTGTGTCCCCGTAGTGCCGGGACGTACCTAAAATTTACCCGTAGATATAACAGGCCTCGGAAGGCCCGGGAATTTTACATGTTAGAGTAGCCGTGGTTTCGGGTGTGTATGGCGGTAAGTGGCAGGGACTTAGCCGGGGATGTACGTTAAAACGATGCCCCGCATTGCCGGGAGGTGGCCGGGACATTCACATGCATGTAACCCTTTTGGAAATTACATCCCCAGCTAAGTCCCCGCTAGGCCCGGGTCCGGGGGAGCCTGGACTACAATTGACAAGTGCATTTTTCCAATCAAACACTATTTCATCATTATAGGCATATGTTCCAAAGACTGCTCGTTACTGGCTTTGGGCCTGTGGTGTTATTTCATAAGTTCTGAAGAAAAACTATGGTCTGTCACTTTGACATTTTGATTTTACTGCTGAGAAATAACGAAAAGATTAAATATATTCACATACAGTAAATAACAAACTTTAAAAAAATTATTGGTAGCGCAGATAATTCTTTCATTAATATTTTTTTCAATTTACAGAAAGCTGTTTGGTAACTGACATGATCCGAATAGATTTACCTAGATAGATGGCGCATTATAAATGCATTGTTATTATTTATTATCCCTATAAGGCCAATAAAAAAAAGATTCTTGTGTTGGCCACGTTTTGGGAAAATCCTAAAAATGGGTAGGTCAGTAGGAGAAGTTTTTTTTTTTTTATTTTTACCAATATGTTTATGCCTAAAAAGTAGAAAATACACAAAAATACAACAAAGACAATTTTTAATATTGAAGAGCAAAACGATCGCATAGCACTGTCGCATCACCTACCGTCGCAAGAATAGGCCTACAGTCTCAATTTCAAATTTTTTGGATCGGTCAGGCCTGGTCAACACAATAATATTTTTTATTTGGCCTAATGGTTAACATTGCATAATAAAATTCGGTTTTAGATCAACGGAAACAGTCCGATTTCTGGGTTACTGGGGCTCCAGAATCTTCCTTTTCAAAATAGCAATTAAGAAGAAAAATATAGTATAAATAAAGCATAAATGAAAAATAAATAAAATATAATGGCAAAAAAAAGATTAACTTTACCTCTCGTGCTAAGAAGCTTACAAAGTAATCACTGTCACTTTTCCGTAAAGCACTAAGTATTCCTATTATATTTTCATATACGTTGCCCTTATCTGGTAAACAGAAAAAAGAAGTGTTTAGAATAAAAAAACAGTTGATCATTACAGTATATAATATCATAAGCCACTACTCTAACTTCTGTTGCATTTAACCCTGTTATATTTCATACTGTAGCTTGAAAAAGACTTATAGTTGAAAGTACTCTCTTGTTTTTAAATAAAGTTTGTGGCATATATTATACCATGTACCTATATAATAAGATTATTAATTATCATATTATAAATAGGTCCATGATTATACCATTTGAATGTGTGAATACCTATTTACTGTATGTTTATTTGCCATATACACCACCACCATTTTATACACACACACACACACCTACATACATACATATATTGCTTTAATCAGATTCAAATTACCAATGGCCTAGTTGGTCAAGGCATCTGCATAGACAGCAGAAGGGTACAAAAAGTATATTTCCATACTCACAGACTCCACATTGTTTAAATTAAAAATTGATCTATATATATTTATAGCATTACTGCAAGTGATGGCTCTCAACGAATGTAGTCCTGTAAATAAATAAATGAAGAAATTGTGTAATAAAATGCCTCTGGCGGGACTCGAACCTGCGACCTCTCGTTGTCAAGGCGAGCGTCATAACCATTAGACCACGGACGCTTCATGGTTGAACAGATTCAAATACCACCAGATACACTCCATTACACAATAGGTACGGCTAGAAACAAATAGTTGCATATAATATAAATCAAAATAGCCGTTAACACTGTTAAATTATATATATAAATCATCAAAGAAAGGTAAATACAGTATTCGAATAAAGGACATAATAATACATCGTGTAGCATAGCTCTCAACGAATGTAGTCCTGTAAATAAATGAATAAAGGACTATATTCGTTGAGAGCTATGCTACATGATGTATTATTATGTCCTTTATTCAAACAATACCTTTCTTTGATGATTTATATATATAATTTAACAGTGTTAACGGCTATCTTGATTTATATATATATATTATATATATATATATATACATAATTTTTTTTAGCATTAAAAAAAAGATTTGAGACAATTCTCATACCTAGACATTTCTTAGTGATTTCCAAAAAAAATTAAATCATATCTGAAAATTTGAGAATTTGGATTTGGATGTTTTCGGTGTACCAAGGATAGCCCACAAAATTCTAGAAGAAGACTTATTTCCTATTTCCTTCCGGTGGTGATTGGGCAGTGGATTAGACATAGAATAAGAACAAAATAAACAATATATTTACCAATTTTTAATCTATAGAATCACTACAAAATATACAGAGTTAAGAAGTCAGGTGCATATTATTACCTCTCTCATTGATGGACACTGTGAAAACATTTGGTTTCATCCCAGTAAATATACCAACGTTCCCAACGTAAGATGTGCTTGTGAAAACAGTCTAAAAGATCATCAAAGAGAAAAAAAAGCATAATTATATAAAACTACAAAATATTACATGTAAATAAAATTATTATCATTAATTAAAAATGCTTGTTAATTAAGGGAAAATAGTTAAATGACAGCTAATAGGCAATGTTCTTTTAACATCTATTAACATTAATTAAGTGACTATGAAGTACAATGATAATTTGATAATAATGACTAACATAATAATTAATAACAGAGCACAATTAACCACAAGAGAACACAATTAACCACATCAGTAGCAACAACAACTAAAACCAAAATAACAACAACAGCAGCAGCAGCAATAGAAACAATAATGTTTAACTGTAATAATAATAATTAATAACAATACACAGACTGTTAACATAAAAATTATCAAAAAAGTATTCAGTAAAAATAGACACTTACACGATTGTTCCTTTGGAAATCTAGAATAACAGTTACATTTCGCAGAATATCTGGGAAACTGTAATCCAAATTTCGGCCATGCCACACCATATTATTATTATCAACTGCTACAATACTTGTACAGAAACTACAAAGAACAGAAACCAGTTTTAATCTATTTCAGAGTTTAGTTACTCACTTTGCAATCCCAGGGTCAAGGGTTTAAATTCTGCCACCGCCTGTGTTATCACAACAACGCTGGCCAACTCTCAAAGACAAATGGCCGTGGTTTATGATGTAGAGAATCGCTGAGTAGGCCTACTTTCAAGTTTACACCATTCCAAAATGACAGGGGTGTTAATGGACCATATTTTCAGGGTGACCCCCTACTCTTTGGGGGTAACCCCCTATTTTTCTGAATGTTGGAATGGGTTCTTTAAAATGTATATGAGCCAGATATGTACACAGGACCTCCAGTTTTAAGACATTATCCAAAAAAACTTGGTTCTACCAACCTAACACTGGGCGAATCAGCACCGATGTTAAGGCAGTAAATAGCGGTACCTCTTTTAACCGCTTGGCTAATATGTGACTCACCAAATTTATGATGCTGAGAATAATAAGATGGACAAATAATAAAGCACTTAGTATTCAGATGTTCACAAGACTTACGCAGTTGCTTCATAAATAATGTTCATTGCGAATATTTCTCCTACGCTGACATCGAGCCAGTTTGCTATGCTTCGTATTTCACCTGCGTATGGATCTGGCATATATTTATTAAGCTGCGATCCAATCAAGTCCACCAGTGGGAATGCCTCTTTCGGTATTTGGGTACTTCGGAAGAAAAATGAAATTATAATTTAATCAATCAATGAATGAGTTATCACATGAAGTATAGGTTCCTCTTTGGTGGAAAATATATTTTGCACAAACAAAATCCGGATTTGTGAGATTTTGAACCAGTCAGGCTTTAGGCAACAAAATGTTTCTTTGACCTACTGAGGGCGCTGTAGTCTAAAATCCTTAAAATGCCAATAGCTTATTTAAACAGATAAAATTATAGTCCCATAGCAAAAAATCTTTGCTGTATCTTCTTTATAATGTCATTCCTTTCACACATTCACGATTTTTGCTACGATAAAAAGCAAAGATTATAAAATTTGAAAAAATATTGCTCTACCATAGTAATTCTTACTCAAAATTTCAAATTTATTTGTTTTGCCAAGACGATAATTGGGATGCCGTCTAGATGTGTTAGTGTGACGACATCCTTAAGATTTGCAGAGATGTAGTTATGGTGGGCGGGGCAACCCAGTCTTGAAGTTTTCCACCCTAAGCTAATTTCATGGCCCTTTACCCACCTTTATTAACACACTTTCCCATCCTTAAAATTATATTTTCTACAGCTACAACCCTGGATTTGTCACAATGTACTATATCAAATTACCAAGATATCATACATTTTACAAGCATGTACAATTTTTATTGGCCCATTTTTCGCACATTATTTTATTCAAGGTTTTCCTCAGTAACACCTTACATGTGTGCAGCCTTTAGCACAAGGCATTTTAAATCTGCGCATGATTCTCCTTTGTACAGTTTTCAAACTGTACAGAGTCTAGTACTGTTTCAAATTGTGCACATAAATTCTTATACAGTTTGCAAATACAGCAGTGCCAGGGGCCAACTGCCTAAATTGTGCACAACAATACTTTTTATTGAGGATACACATTTAGCCTTGACATCATAAAGACAAGTAATTATCTACCAGCATGTCAACAAATCGCCTGAGTCAATATTAGTGTTGATAACTAACAATAGGGTTATAAATTTAACAGGAAATAACAGGTACATTACTTAATATAAATCCAACTCCAGTTTACTGATCGAATGGAATGAATCTATAAATAAAACGCTGGTGGTTTGTTCAGGTTTTTCGACAAGGCATCCACATCATCCCTTCTAAGGGTACAGGAGTACAGTGCAAAATATGGCTTCTATCCAGGGGGTTTTTATGTACACTGGTGTAGGCTGGGGATGAGGCGCTTGTGGACCCCAAGTGAGCTTTCTTTGGAAAAGAAATCTAGTTCCAGTTTCTCAATGTTTGCATCCCCAGCTCTGCATTCTTCATTTTCGAGCAGATCCCCCCCATCCCACCTCTCAGGATATGCCCTTGATGCACCACCCCCACTCCAAATAAGAAAAGGTCCAAATTTTGGAGTTGGTCATGAGTGAGAATAAAAAAAATATATATATTAATATCGTTTAAATAATAATAGGGAATTGTTAAACCAGTATTTTGGCATGCACAATATGGCAATCCTGGATTAAGGGAGTCCATTCGCAACAAAATTTCTTTTTTTATACCTCCAAGTTTACTGACAATTTTTCCACCAACAATGGTAACAAATTTGTTCAGTGACATTTCTGTAGGGGATGATCGACCCTAAGCCTGTTAATGTTATCATCATCTATGCATTTTATCGGGGTTTTGCTTACATAACAATTCTCACTATCAAACTGTCAACACCATTTGACATAGGCCAGGCCCCAGGTAGCAGTAGTAAATAAATACACCAAATTCCTGCCTTTGCATACAACTCTTGCTTAAATTCCAGTCATAAATATTCAGTACTACTAGAGGCCTTGCCTATGACCCTACCCAGCTGCCTAGCGAATTACACATCGGGGCCCAGCACAATAATTAAATTAAAGGCGACCAAAGAGCCCAGTTGACACTTGGACATCTGTTTCAACAATAAGTATATAACAATTAACATACAGAATGGAAAACCAGGTAACTAAAATTAGGAACTTCGAACCAACAGGCCTTCGGACCAAAGACCCTTCTTCAGACCAACTGGCCTTTGGAATAAAGACCCTTCGGACCAAAGGTACTCACTTTACTAAAATTAGGAACTTCGGACCAAAGAGTACCCATCTTTGGATCAATAAATGGGCCTTCTTCGGACTAAAGACCCTTCAAAAGAATGGGTTGTTGGACCAAAGACCCTTTGGACCAAAGGTACGCACACCTACTAACCTGCTAATATGTAGAAAATACATATACATTATTTTTTTTCTCAACGACGAATTGTGGATTTTCTCCCCAACCTCGCTGGCGCCGCCACTGGCCTAGGCCCTAGGCCAGTTAATGCATTTTTTTACAAACTTGAGAAGTCTAATTCCTAAAATCATAACAATCACAAAGTTTTGTTTGACGTAATCCAGGCAAACATGTAATCATAAGTTAACTTACGAAAGGGCATGTTTGATCATTTGCTTCAAGTTATCCTTGTCGTAATGACGAAGTATTGACACCCATCTTTCCTCATCGGGAAGATCCAAATTGAATTTATACCTCGGTGCAGCCGGACTCGGACTCGTCGTCATTAACATTGGCAGAGGTGGAGAAGTAGTCAGGCCGGTGATACATGTTTGTCTGGATGTAAAAAGTGCTAACAGCAGAATTGCTGCTACTACTGTACGTGTTGTCTTCCAAACCTCCATGTTTATCAAAGTACTGGTAGGCCTAGTTGACACTATAATAACGGTAAAGTTTGACGCCAGTACTGTACTGACTGATATAAGAAAGTCAGTGACCTGGTTTGAGCTAATGACTCTATCACGTGATATATTGTTATGGCCTATCACATGATCACTGCTGCTATTATGACCACTTGTAATATTACCCGCGTGTTTAACAGCCCCGGCTGCTCAGTAAGACGCTATAACATTGAATTTCTCCGTCTGACCATGGAATCCCCAAACAAAAAGTATTAGCACATGACTATTATCGATCGTAAATGCCATCGCAGTATCAATTTAGAATTGTAAAGAGAGTTAGGCCTACTCGACCGGTAAATTCAAATAAAATACATTAAAGCCATATTTTGATGATCTAGGCAGGAGGCTTATCATTTATGGCGACTCTTCAATTCTATTTTATTTCATCTTTTGGTATTTTAGTGAAACTTAAATTTTCATCAAATTGGTGGAACACTGACTTGTCTTGCATTTTGATCAATTTAACCAAAGCTTAAGTAGGACTACGATATTTTTTGTGAACGCCTCCATTTTACAAAACAATTGTTCGCCCGGCAAACTGTAAAAAGTCTCGCGAAAATCTGAACGTTCATAGCCCTAATTAACTATCGAATCACAATAACATTGTAATCATAATAATACTTAGTAATCGTAGGCCTAATCGTAATAAAATGTTAATAACAATTCTGTTTACGTTTTATTAATAATAAAAAAAAATATAGAATTCACATGAGTAGGCCTAATTATAATAACAAATATGTTGTAC